TTTCAATTAACCTTTGTCACTCTTTATCAAAGTCTATCTCACTCTGCCACACTCTGACATTCTTTGTCGTTCTCACTCTGCCACACTCTGACATTCTTTGTCGTTCTCACTCTGCCACACTCTGACATTCTTTGTCGTTCTCACTCTGCCACACTCTGACATTCTTTGTCGTTCTCACTCTGCCACACTCTGACATTCTTTGTCGTTCTCACTCTGCCACACTCTGACATTCTTTGTCGTTCTCACTCTGCCACACTCTGACATTCTTTGTCGTTCTCACTCTGCCACACTCTGACATTCTTTGTCGTTCTCACTCTGCCACACTCTGACATTCTTTGTCGTTCTCACTCTGCCACACTCTGACATTCTTTGTCGTTCTCACTCTGCCACACTCTGACATTCTTTGTCGTTCTCTTTATACTATTTCTAAACTGTATTTCGTTGGATCGTTTTTCCTGCAGTCACTTCTAGCATTTAAGATTTGCCAGCTGTTGCCCAATCCACTTGGGCTGGACGGTAGAGCGACGGTCTCGCTTCACGCAGCAGGTCGGCGTTCAATCCCAGACCTGTTCAAGTGGTTGGTTACCATTCCTTCCAAATCCTAAATCCTTATCCTGACCCCTTCACAGTGCTATATGGTCGGAATGGATTGGCGTTTCCCCTGATATTTCCCTCTCTCTACGAACTGCGTAGGCAAGAGCTTCTGTGTTTCTTAACGATGGTCTTTGTTGCAGTGTCGCTGCGTCTTGCACTCTGCAGTGTGTTGCAGACTTTACCCACGAATTAACTATGAAGCAATATCACAGCGTCTGCACTGTGTCGTGTCTGAAATATGAACAACTCTCTGTCTGTCTGTCTCTCTCTGTTCTACCATAATTGTTCCTTGTACTGTAGGTATAGGGGGTTTCCAGTACTGTTACTTTTAGTGTATTACCTGGCCGCTGTTTCGGCCAGGTAATTTACCTATTTACTGCTGGGTAAACAGGGGCATTCAGGGTCAAAAAAACTTTGCCGTTTGTTTCTGCCTGGTGTTTGAATCGAACCCGCGACGCAGAATTAAGAGTCCTGCGCGCTATCCACCAGGCTACCAGGCCCCCTAGAATACACACACACACACACACGTGTGTTTGTATGTGTGTGTGTGTGTGTGTGTGTGTGTGTGTGTGTGTGTGTGTGTGTGTGTGTGTGTGTGTGTGTGTGTGTGTGTGTGTGTGTGTGTGTGTGTGTGTGATTGTGAGTGTGTGTGTGTGTGTGTGTGTGTGTGTGCACCTAATTGTACTCACCTAATTGTGCTTGCGGGGGTTGAGCTCTGGCTCTTTGGTCCCGCCTCTCAACCGTCAATCAACTGGTGTACAGATTCCTGAGCCTATTGGGCTCTATCATATCTACATTTGAAACTGTGAATGGAGTCAGCCTCCACCACATCACTTCCTAATGCATTCCATTTGATAACTACTCTGACACTGAAAAAGTTCTTTCTAACGTCTCTGTGGCTCATTTGGGTACTCAGCTTCCACCTGTGTCCCCTTGTTCGCGTCCCACCAGTGTTGAAAAGTTCATCCTTGTTTACCCGGTCGATTCCCCTGAGGATTTTGTAGGTTGTGATCATGTCCCCCCTTACTCTTCTGTCTTCCAGTGTCGTGAGGTGCATTTCCCGTAGCCTTTCCTCATAACTCATGCCTCTTAGTTCTGGGACTAGTCTAGTAGCATACCTTTGGACTTTTTCCAGCTTCGTCTTGTGCTTGACAAGGTACGGGCTCCATGCTGGGGCCGCATACTCCAGGATTGGTCTTACATATGTGGTGTACAAGATTCTGAATGATTCCTTACACAGGTTCCTGAACGCCGTTCTGATGTTAGCCAGCCTCGCATATGCCGCAGACGTTATTCTCTTTATGTGGGCTTCAGGAGACAGGTTTGGTGTGATATCAACTCCTAGATCTTTCTCTCTGTCTGTTTCATTAAGTACTTCATCTCCTATTCTGTATCCTGTGCCTGGCCTCCTGTTTCCACTGCCTAGTTTCATTACTTTGCATTTACTCGGGTTGAACTTCAACAGCCATTTGTTGGACCATTCACTCAGTCTATCCAGGTCATCTTGTAGCCTCCTACTATCATCCTCTGTTTCAATCCTCCTCATAATTTTTGCATCGTCGGCAAACATTGAGAGGAACGAATCTATACCCTCTGGGAGATCATTTACATATACCAGAAACAGTATAGGTCCAAGGACTGACCCCTGCGGGACTCCACTTGTGACGTCTCGCCAATCTGAGACCTCACCCCTCACACAGACTCGTTGTCTCCTGTTGCTTAGGTATTCCTCTATCCACCGGAGTACCTTCCCTCTCACTCCAGCCTGCATCTCCAACTTTCGCACTAGCCTCTTGTGTGGCACTGTATCAAAGGCTTTCTGACAATCCAAAAATATGCAGTCTGCCCACCCTTCTCTTTCTTGCCTTATTTTTGTTGCCTGGTCGTAGAATTCAAGTAACCCTGTGAGGCAGGACCTGCCATCCCTGAACCCATGTTGATGCTGTGTTACAAAGTTCCTTCGCTCCAGATGCTCCACTAGTTTTTTTCGCACAATCTTCTCCATCAGCTTGCATGGTATGCAGGTTAGGGACACTGGCCTGTAGTTCAGTGCCTCCTGTCTATCCCCTTTCTTGTATATCGGGACTACGTTAGCTGCTTTCCAAATATCTGGCAGTTCCCCTGTTGCCAGTGATTTGTTTTACACTATGGAGAGTGGTAGGCTCAGTTCTCTTGCTCCTTCCTTTAGAACCCAAGGGGAGATTCCATCTGGGCCTATAGCCTTCGTCACGTCCAACTCTAGTAAACACTTCCTTACTTCCCCACTGGTAATCTCAAACTCTTCCAGTGGTTCCTGGTTAGCTATTCCCTCACTTACCTCTGGAATTTCTCCTTGTTCTAAGGTGAAGACCTCCTGGAATTTCTTATTCAATTCCTCACACACTTCCTTGTCATTTGTAGTGAATCCTTCCGCCCCTATCCTTAATCTCATAACCTGTTCCTTTACTGTTGTTTTTCTCCTAATGTGGCTATGCAACAATTTAGGCTGAGTCTTTGCCTTGCTTGCGATGTCATTTTCGTATTGTCTTTCTGCCTCTCTTCTCATCCTGACATATTCATTCCTGGCATTCTGGTATCTTTCTCTGCTCTCCAGTGTCCTGTTATTCCTATAGTTTCTCCATGCCCTTTTACTTTGCTGCTTAGCTAGCCTACATCTTTGATTAAACCTTTGAGTGTGTGTGTGTAGTCTTCCATAACTATGGGTGAGTACGTGCAAAATTAACGATCTATTACGGTACAAAAAAAAATTCAGCAAAATTAATTAAAAAATCTATCCACAAATATGAATGGAGTGAACAAGTCCCTCAACCAGAAAACACATTGATCCAAACTTATTTCAAAACACACAACATTTTCGCTTTACGAATTCCATTTTGACAATTCTATTAAAATTGCCGATATTTTAATCTAACATCATAATTTATCTGCCGGGTTTTGAACTTGTTTTCACTTCTTTCCAACTTAACAAAAATTCTTATCCCCATCATGATGATAAGGTTATCATTTTGATATCTTCGATAAGTGTTGATCTTTCTCGTGTTTACATTTTCAAGTTTACTCATTTTATCAATCTCTCATTTTCTCATTTATTCCTAATTTGACTTACTTGACCAGTTGTCATATTTTCGCTCTATTTAAGATCTTGAAAGAGATAATAGTGGTCTATTATTTCACTTCTCATCGCTATCAGTATCTTCCCCATTCGTAACACCCACAACTGCTCCTCTTTATATAGCTTTACGTACAGTCATATTAACAGGGACTCCAGTCACAGAGACTACTGTGTCAGACTACTGTGTCAGACTACTGTGTCTGACGTGTCACTACTGTGTCAGACTACTGTGTCTGACGTGTCACTACTGTGTCAGACTACTGTGAACAGTCACAGTTTAAGTCAGAAACGATGTGTGCAAACTCCTTCCATGTATATTATCTCGAGAACATGAGTATTATTCATACATATACATAAGCCCTTCAAACAATGATACATGAGCCCCTCAAACAATCTCTTCTGAATTTAACCATCAAACAATTAATTTTTGTCAATTATTAGGGCTCTGTTGGCTGTAATATTTTAATTGTTCTTTGCCTGCTTTGTTATGCCTTTTTTATATATTTAATTTTGATTTTCATATATATATATATTTTTTAACATTTGTAACTAGTTTGATAAATTTTTGGTCTTGATCGAATTTCACATTATTAATCCTTTTCTTCATTGCTCTCTGTTATCGGTTCTGTTCTTTAGTCATGAAGTTATTCATTTATAGGTTATTATTATCCGGCTTAATTCATTTCTATGGTATACAACATTCTTGAGCTTTAATATGAATATTCTTATATAAGATAAAGTTGAATTTACATCGAAATTCATTGTCATGTCACCCACTACTCTGTCACGACCCACGTACAGGTCATCCACGTCCCACGTACAGGTCACCCACCTCCCACGTACGTACGTCCCACCTACCTCAGGACTGGCGTCACGTCCATGGACAGCACATCTCCCATATAAAAACCTGCTGAATCTAACCTAACCTAACCTAACCTAACCTAACCTAACCTAACCTAACTTAACCTAACCTAACCTGCTGAATCTAACCTCCCAAGAATCTCTTTTTATGCTTCAAAATCAGCCTTACTGAAATCAGGGAATCAAAACGAACTTCCTTACACAATTTTTCCGTGTTATATTAAATCTGGTTATCCTGTTATCACAGTTCCTTATTTCCCTCCCAAATTTCGATGTTATGGCTTACTGTTAGATAACATTAAGTCTTAAACATCGTTTTACCAATGTTAGCTCCTAAATAGGATGTTTAAGGAAGTGTCAAGTGGTGCTTTGCGGGTTTAACAAACCCGCAAATAGGTTCTTTTAAGTGTTTAACAATGCAGCCCACATTGGTTTAAAGGTTCCTCAAAGCATCACCTGGTTGTCTAGTGCTCTCTGGTTCTCTAGTACTCTCTGGTTCTCTAGTACTTTCTGGTTCTCTAGTACTCTCTGGATCTCTAGTACTCTCTGGATCTCTAGTACTCTCTGGATCTCTAGTACTTTCTGGTTCTCTAGTACTTTCTGGTTCTCTAGTACTCTCTGGATCTCTAGTACTCTCTGGTTCTCTAGTACTCTCTGGTTCTCTAGTACTCTCTGGTTCTCTAGTACTCTCTGGTTCTCTAGTACTCTCTGGTTCTCTAGTACTTTCTGGTTCTCTAGTACTCTCTGGATCTCTAGTACTCTCTGGTTCTCTAGTACTCTCTGGTTCTCTAGTACTCTCTGGTTCTCTAGTACTCTCTGGATCTCTAGTACTCCCTGGTTCTCTAGTACTACCTGGTTCTCTAGTGCTCTCTGGTTCTCTAGTACTCTCTGGATCTCTAGTACTCTCTGGTTCTCTAGTACTCTCTGGTTCTCTAGTACTCTCTGGTTCTCTAGTACTCTCTGGATCTCTAGTACTCCCTGGTTCTCTAGTACTACCTGGTTCTCTAGTGCTCTCTGGTTCTCTAGTACTCTCTGGTTCTCTAGTACTTTCTGGTTCTCTAGTACTCTCTGGATCTCTAGTACTCTCTGGATCTCTAGTACTCTCTGACTCTCTAGTACTTTCTGGTTCTCTAGTACTCTCTGGTTCTCTAGTACTCCCTGGTTCTCTAGTACTCTCTGGTTCTCTAGTACTCTCTGGTTCTCTAGTACTCTCTGGTTCTCTAGTACTCTCTGGTTCTCTAGTACTCCCTGGTTCTCTAGTACTCTCTGGTTCTCTAGTACTCTCTGGTTCTTTAGTACTCTCTGGTTCTCTAGTGCTCTCTGGTTCTCTAGTACTTTCTGGTTCTCTAGTACTTTCTGGTTCTCTAGTACTCTCTGGATCTCTAGTACTCTCTGGTTCTCTAGTACTTTCTGGTTCTCTAGTACTCCCTGGTTCTTTAGTACTCTCTGGTTCTCTAGTACTCCCTGGTTCTCTAGTACTCTCTGGTTCTCTAGTACTCTCTGGTTCTTTAGTACTCTCTGGTTCTCTAGTACTCCCTGGTTCTCTAGTGCTCTCTGGTTCTCTAGTGCTCTCTGGTTCTCTAGTACTCTCTGGTTCTCTAGTACTCTCTGGTTCTCTAGTACTCTCTGGTTCTCTAGTACTCCCTGGTTCTCTAGTACTCTCTGGTTCTCTAGTACTCTCTCGTTCTTTAGTACTCTCTGGTTCTCTAGTACTCCCTGGTTCTCTAGTACTCTCTTGTTCTCTAACACACTCTGGTTCTCTAGTACTCTCTGGTTCTTTAGTACTCTCTGGTTCTCTAGTACTCTCTGGTTCTTTAGTACTCTCTGGTTCTCTAGTGCTCTCTGGTTCTCTAGTACTCCCTGGTTCTTTAGTACTCTCTGGTTCTTTAGTACTCTCTGGTTCTCTAGTGCTCTCTGGTTCTCTAGTACTCTCTGGTTCTCTAGTACTCTCTGGTTCTTTAGTACTCTCTGGTTCTCTAGTGCTCTCTGGTTCTCTAGTACTCCCTGGTTCTCTAGTACTCTCTGGTTCTTTAGTACTCTCTGGTTCTCTAGTACTCCCTGGTTCTCTAGTACTCCCTGGTTCTCTAGTACTCTCTGCCACTCAGTCTCTTCGGCTTTTTAAATAATTACAATTTCCTCTTCATAACTTTTATGGAACTTTTGTTTTCATTCCTTATATTTACTATTTTGACTTTTTGCTCAATAGAAAGTACTGATTGTAGTTTATTTTCCAATTTATCCACGATTTTCCTCCCAATATACACTTAACTTAATTTTATGATAATTGAAGTGGGAGAATGTACCACTATGCTCCACACTAACCTGACTGAAGGGTGAGAATGCCTCACTAATGCTCCAGGCTGACTTTACTAAGGGTTGAAAATGCCCCACTAATCCCCCAGGTGCCTTTACTCTACTTTACTCTTTACTTTACTAGGATCTAGATATAACAGATCAAGATGCTCTAGCATCACATCACACACTTTAAATGATTAAATCAAACTGAAAGCTTAGTGGAAAAAAAAAGATTCAAAATGTTGACTAAACCACACACTAGAAAGTGAAGGGACGACGACATTTCGGTCCGTCCCGGACTACTCTCAAGTCGATTGAAAATGGTCTAATTTTGATCTAAGGATCAAAATCTTTGACCTTTCGAGCATCTGTGATCTGAGTGTTACCTTTGGGAGTGCAAATGTTTATGTTATTATAAGACAATGAAAAGGAAAAGTATGGTGAGAAGTTATGAAATATGTTTAAATTTCATGAACATCTGTTAAATTTTCATCCAAAATGGTCAAGATAGCAAGCACGTGATTAATAACACATTAACAGACTTACAGACGTATTTGACTAACATTCTTACTCTTTCTTACTTTAGAGTAAGAACGAGATCGGAACGCGATGATGCCAACATAGAAAGCACAGCTTAACATGCCACTACACCTTATTAATCTTTGTATGTGCTTCATACCCTTTTCTCGCTTTATTCTTCATCCATTTACGCCTTACTATTCACCTATTTGTATTTGTCTGCACCTGACCTCCTATTTATATCAATCCAATATGCCCTGCACTGTCCCATCACTTGATACTGAACCATGTAGGTTCGAAACGTTGTATAAATTTATAATAAATGTAATACATTTTCCAGTTATTTATTTATTTTTATTCACCTCGAACGAAGATAACTTTTCGAGAACTCTTCTTCCAATTAAACCAAGATGCAAGGGCACTAATAAGAGGGATAGAAGCCCTAAACAAGAAAATAATAAATACAGAATATAGTCATATTTAATGAAACTTGTATAAATAAAACCCTGCTCTATGGTACCCAAGTACATGGGTACCATAGAGCAGAGGGTCTTAGTAGACATGGTCTTGAAACCTGCCATATACTGCAGGTATGTTGACGACATTTTTATGCAGGTACCTGATGTCAAACGTCTGCAGGAGCTAAAGGAGGCATTCGAGCAAAATTCAGTGTTAAGTTTCACTTATGAGATGGAGAAGGATCGGAAGCTGCCCTTTCTAGATGTAACAGTCACGGAAAGGAGCGGAGGTTTCCACACTTCAGTCTACACTAAGGATACAAACATAGGAATGTGCCTCAATGCCAACAGTGACTGCCCAGACAGGTACAAGAGGAGTGTTGTTAATGCTTATGTCGACCGTGCTCTCAGCCACAGCTCAGGATGGAAGCAAGTCAATGAAGAACTCTGTAGGGTAAGGCAGGTTCTAGTCAACAATGGCTTCTCTAACGGTTATGTTGAAGACATCATAAGAAGGAAGGTGAAACGCCATGCAACCTCTGAAGAGACAACTAACACATCACCTGTACCCCCTATTAGACTGTTTTTCAGAAACTTCCTTTCGACGGCTCATAAAACGGAGGAAAGTTTCCTGAAAGATATTATTAATAGGAACGTTATCCCCACAGACAAAAATCAGAAGATACAATTGCCAATTTACTACAAAAATAAGAAGACGGCCATCCTACTCATGAAAAACTCTCCAGACACCAAACAGAACGCCTTGAAAGAAACCAACGTCGTCTATGCCTTAACATGCCCAATTGGGGACTGTCACCCCCAAAGATCTCAGTATACAGGCAAGACAACAACGTCTCTTTCTAAGTGATTAACAATGCACAAACAACAGGGCTCCATTAAAGAACATATAATCTCCTCTCACAACCAGACCCTCAGCAGAGAAATCTTAACAAGCAACACAGAAATAATCGATAGATACAGCGATAGCAGGAGACTCGACATCAGCGAAGCACTACACATCAAAAAGTCAACACTAGCAATCAACAGCTAATTTACACATAACTATATTCTACCAACTTCAAGACCCCGAGCCAACATAGAAGCAGCTAATATGCAATGTACCCATTGTTTCGTGATTTGTCCTTTGTCACCTCACCCAAAAACATCTGTCATATCACCTCACCCAAAAACATTTGTCATATCACCTCACCCAAAAACATTTGTCATATCACCTCACCCAAAAACATCTGTCATATCACCTCACCCAAAAACATTTGTCATATCACCTCACCCAAAAACAAATATAAGCATTGAAAATGCTTAAGCTTTGAAAGTACCTTTAAGCTACTGTATAAGCTTTGTAAACTACTTTATAAACTTCTTTTACTAAGTATAAGCTTTGAAAATGTGAAAAGTCCTTGCGAAACGATTTTAAGCGTCAGACCATGTACTGAATACTGACCAAAAATGAAATATGGGGAGTTAATTTTGTAATTACCCAAAACAGTGTTGCAATCATTAATCTTACCCTTTCGGTCATATTCGACAACATATGTTTACAAGAAAGACTGCTACCAATATATATATATATATATATATATATATATATATATATATATATATATATATATATATATATATATATATATATATATATATGTTTCATTGAATATGACCGCATATTCTGTATTTATTATTTTCTGGTTTAGGGCTTCTATCCCTCTAACTATTTTCTTAGCATCAGGGCTTAATTGAAATAGGAGTTCTCCAAAACTCAGTTTTTTTCAGTTGCATATTGTTGCATACTCAGTTTTCAAACTCTCAGTGAGTTTTCAGTTGCATATTGTCCTGGGGACCATTCAGGCTTGTTCGCATTTGTGTTCCTCACGTGTGCCCCAAAGAATGAGGTGATTTGGTAAAATGCTATGCCCAAGATTACTATCCGAGTGCCGGCGGTGGGGTGGTTCAAATAGCCTCGGCTATCACCTCATTATGTCCGGTCGTGATGGTCAAGTGGATTAAGGCGTCTTGTACATACCAGTTGCGTTGCTCCTGGGAGTATGGGTTCGAGTCACTTCTGGGGTGTGAGTTTTCAGTTGCATATTGTCCTGGGGACCATTCAGGCTTGTTCGCATTTGTGTTCCTCACGTGTGCCCCAAAGAATGAGGTGATTTGGTAAAATGCTATGACCAAGATTACTATCCGAGTGCCGGCGGTGGGGTGGTTCAAATAGCCTCGGCTATCACCTCATTATGTCCGGTCGTGATGGTCAAGTGGATAAGGGCGTCTTGTAAATACCAGTTGCGTTGCTCCTGGGAGTATGGGTTCGAATCACTTCTGGGGTGTGAGTTTTCAGTTGCATATTGTCCTGGGGACCATTCAGGCTTGTTCGCATTTGTGTTCCTCACGTGTGCCCCAAAGAATGAGGTGATTTGGTAAAATGCTATGCCCAAGATTACTATCCGAGTGCCGGCGGTGGGGTGGTTCAAATAGCCTCGGCTATCACCTCATTATGTCCGGTCGTGATGGTCAAGTGGATTAAGGCGTCTTGTACATACCAGTTGCGTTGCTCCTGGGAGTATGGGTTCGAGTCACTTCTGGGGTGTGAGTTTTCAGTTGCATATTGTCCTGGGGACCATTCAGGCTTGTTCGCATTTGTGTTCCTCACGTGTGCCCCAAAGAATGAGGTGATTTGGTAAAATGCTATGCCCAGATTACTATCCGAGTGCCGGCGGTGGGGTGGTTCAAATAGCCTCGGCTATCACCTCATTATGTCCGGTCGTGATGGTCAAGTGGATTAAGGCGTCTTGTACATACCAGTTGCGTTGCTCCTGGGAGTATGGGTTCGAGTCACTTCTGGGGTGTGAGTTTTCAGTTATATACATATATATATATATATATATATATATATATATATATATATATATATATATATATATATATATATATATATATATATATATATATATATATATATATATATATATATATATATCAGGAGGATTTGAACCCAGACAGCCAGGAGCACAATGCACCTTGAAACATGCATACATGCATATATAACCTACGCTTGAAATAATCAAGTGATCCCACGTCATTTATATTACCTGTTATTATGTTTCACAAATCAAGAACAACCAGTGCTTCCAAACCAGTATTTACCCAGGTCTTTCGACATCAAATTAATCGTGGTCTCTTTCCTTAAAATTTCGGTAATAATGAAAATGAATTTTACTGAAAATACTCAAACATCTGCTATGTCCATGGGCTGTATATCCTTCAGTGAAGAGCAAAGCCTGTAGGCATGTTTTTTTTTTAATTTACTGCCGTGTACGATTATCAAGGATTATTGAATTTCCAATCACCAGAGAGGCAATTAAGTTTGTGAGAGTGTGTGAGAGAGATACCATGAGAGGTAGTGAGAGTTTGAAAGGGGTGAGATTGTTGGCATGAGAATGTGAGAGAAAGAAAGATTATATGAGAAGTGTGTGAGAGAATGTGCGAGAGTGAGAGAGATTGAGATTATGTGAGTGGAAGTGATTGAATGAAAGATGGAGAGACATTCTAAGAGACGGAGTGCGAGCGCTTGAGACAAGGATTGGTGGAGGGAGAGTTTGTACCGTGGAATAATTGTGTATGAGAGAGTTTTGTGTGTGTTTGAGAGGGAGAATATTTGTAAATATGAGAGAGAGAGAGATTTTATGAGAGGAATTTAATGTGTGTGTGAGAAAGAAAGATTCTCAGAGGTACTGAGAGTGTGTGAGTAGGAAAGAAATTGTGTGAAAGAGAGACTCTGTGAGAGGGAGGTAATGAGTGAAAGACGATGAGTCCTAATAACGTGGCTAAAGACCATTCTCAATCGACTTGAGAATGGTCCAGGACGGACCGAAACGTCGTCGTCCCTTCACCTTCTAGTGTGTGGTCTGGCCAACAATGAGCGAAAGCCTGTTAGAGAGAGATTAAGAGTGTTTGAGAGGGATTAAATGTGTTTGTGTGTGTGTGAGAGAGTATATGTTGGACTGAGATTGTGTGAGAGAGCATGTGTGCGTATGTGTGTGTGTGTACTCATCTAGTTGTGTTTGCGGGGGTTGAGCTCTGGCTCTTTGGTCCCGCCTCTCAACCGTCAATCAACAGGTGTACAGATTCCTGAGCCTACTGGGCTCTATCATATCTACACTTGAAACTGTGTATGGAGTCAGCCTCCACCACATCACTTCCTAATGCATTCCATTTGTCAACCACTCAACCACTCTGTGTGTGTGTGTGTGTGTGTGTGTGTGTGTGTGTGTGTGTGTGTGTGTGTGTGTGTGTGTGTGTGTGTGTGTGTGTGTGTGTGTGTGTGTGTGTGTGTGTGTGTGTGTGTGTGTGTGTGTGTGTGTGTGTGTGTGTGTGTGTGTGTGTGTGTGTGTGTGTGTGTGTGTGTGTGTGTGTGTGTGTGTGTGTGTGTGTGTGCGTGTGCGTGTGCGTGTGCGTGTGTGAGTGAGTGAGTGAGTGAGTGTGTGTGTGTGTGTGTGCGTGTGTGAGTGAGTGAGTGAGTGTGTGTGTGTGTGTGTGTGTGTGTGTGTGTGTGTGTGTGTGTGTGTGTGTGTGTGTGTGTGTGAGAGTGAGTGTGTGAGTGAGAGAGTGTGTGTGTGTGAGTGGCAACACGGCCATCAGTGAGAGAGACAATACATTGTTGCACAGCGTGCATCAGGAATGGGTTGCAATGAAGTGCAACCCATTGAGCAATAACCAACGTTGCCGCATAATCAACCAAGCCGGATGCATTCACCAGAGTAATCCAATCCGTTAAACACACCCCACAATAAAAGGCCTTAAATGCCGCAGATGAAGATTGAAACCCTTTGCTGCGTTATTAAACCTTCGATATATATGTCTCACTCCATAATTATTAATTCTCTGACCACTACACATACCACAGAGTTTAATACACTTTACTCCCGTTGTGTCATACCCTCTTTCATACGCCTTCCCCAGAGAGAGGAATGCGTATTTTTTTTTTTTGGTGGGGTGGGGATGGGGGGTTATGAGAATATGGGGTGGGTGAGGTGGGGGGGGGTTAGTGTTGCAGGGGGTGTTGAATTCTATCAAGCCTCGGCCATCAGTTCAGTCAACTCGCAGCCCTTAATTCAGTCAAGATAGCCATCAGTTCAGTCAAGATAGCCATCAGTTCAGTCAAGATAGCCATCAGTTCAGTCAAGATAGCCATCAGTTCAGTCAAGATAGCCATCAGTTCAGTCAAGATAGCAATCAGTTCAGTCAGGATAGCGATCAGTTCAGTCAAGATAGCCATCAGTTCAGTCAAAATAGCCATCAGTTCAGTCAAGATAGCCATCAGTTCAGTCAAGATACAGCCACCAGTGAGTGTGCATGTGCATGTGAGCGTGTGTGTGCATTTATCAAGTGCGTGTGAATGCGCATTCGTGAGCTTTTACAGAATGCGTGCAAGAGGAAATGTGTGTATCTGCGTGTGTGCTTTGTGTATGTGAGTGCTTACGCGTATGTGCGTATCGTATGAGAACAAGTGCATAAGACAGCTGGTACGAGTGCGTTCATTTGCGTATGATTACATTAAATAGTTTGATACGCATGAACTCAAGCACAAACACGGGCTGTAAACTCGCGTGTAGTACCCCCCTCCCATGTGTGTGTGTATACCACTGAGGAAGACAATCTGTGTGTACACCTCAGAGTAGGAAAACCTTGTTTAAATGTACCAATAAGTGAGAGATACACCTATGTAATTGTTCTTAAGAACGAGATGAATTGGACTTCATAGTTTGACCGTGGAAGCTGCATCCCAAGCACTTGCAACACTGATTATATTAGTAATTACAATAATAATAAAAGTAATAATGATAATAGCTAAAGTTACAATATATTACAAATCTTAATTAGCCACAGCTTTTTCTGAGATACAAGTACAGGAAAAGATATCATTAAAGATAACTCCTGGTCCCTATCACACGAAAAGGCTACACGTTAGTGTTCAGGATCGTAATTCACTTAAGCCGACCATGTGAAGCGATCAAACCCTATGAAATTTAACCTCGGTGAATATTCCGGCCAAATCTAAGTATCTGAATGAAAAATTTCGAAGCATTTAATCATTGAGAGTTGGTGCCCGGAGGAAGCCTGGAACTGCTGTGTTTGATACAGTATCGTTGAAAACCCTGTCGAGGGAGATTTAAATCCCATTAATGGAACTGGTATACGATCATAATATTCTGTTGGTTAATTCAGTAATTTAAGGGTAACGCAAAGCATGCGGAGGAAAAAACCGATTAATGTCATTGATTTCAATATTAAATTACGCTGAACAAAATATATGAGAATTTTGTTTAATGTTTGACAGATTACTATTAGATATGTATAAATATGCCATTAGTAAAAATATGAGTGGTGTGGGCATTGTGTGCGAGGTTTTAGACCAAACTTAGCTACTAAGAAACTGTGCAAACTTACCAGTCTAAGCTTCAAGTCAGGTGTTGTGCTGTTACTTGAGTTCAGAGGCAATCAGCACCAGGTTTCCCCAACCAACAGACAGACCATCCACAAAACACTACGACTCGCAAGTACGGTAAGAGGCAGAATTTCGTGCGGCCAATCAGGATGGCCATCAGGAGGAACGAGGAGCCTCCCTGACCGCCTCGCCACACAACCAGTTAGCCATAAACGCCATTCACCTCGTATCTATTACAGCCTGATGGCTGCACTTAATACCGCTCTCGTTCTCATCATTTCCTCCGTAATGCATGTTGGGCTCGACCACTCTGAGCCCTCCGAGGTCGAGGAAGGGGTCGAGGACGACCTTCCCTCCCTCTCATAATGACGAGGGAAAGGAATGGGAAAGAGGGGAAAAGGCAAATGCCATTTATGCTCGTTTAAGATGGTATTGGATTGTATATCCCGATTATGAACAAGAAAAGGATTTTATTCCCCTTATAAGAAAAGGATGGAGCTATAAGGGAAGATTCCAGTATTCCCCTTATAAGGAAAGGATGCAACTCTAAGAGAAGGATCCAGTACTCCTAAGACTGATCTCATCAACTGGTCTTAAGGTTGGCCTGCAGACCAGCACTAGACTTAGTCTCCATTCATATATCTACATACATACAGATGTTTTGGAACCTCTATAGTCTCAGTTCAGGCCTTCAGGCAGGAACGTAGCATTTCTGACCCCTGAGAGTGAGGTGCCAAGGGTGAAAAAGGTCTTATAAAAGGTCCGGCGTGAGATAGAAGGAGGCATGTAGGATGCCTCCTAGCTGTTGTTGTTTATGATTCGCTACTTGGAACTTTTTGTTCCAAGTAGCACGGGCTATGGTGAGCCCGTAGTTCCCTTCCTCGCTTGTCTAGGGAGAGAAACAGATGAGACTCCTATACAGGTGAGTGCCACGGACCTGTACAGCTGAAGAGGTGCCACGGACCTGTACAGCTGAAGAGGTGCCACGGACCTCACCCGAGGTTAATGCCTGAGCTTTCCTCAAGCTTAAGCTCTGTGGTTAACGAGTCTCGGCCTTATTTTAGCTAATTAGCTCTCCAGTTTTAACTTACGTTTTGGTCTGAGAATTGTTGCACTCGCTCGAAAAATTTACTTTGCTTAATAAATCGTCTCGAAAATATTACTAGCCAAAAATACTCCTAAATACACAATGTAAGGAAATATGTTCTTCAACTCCTATTTGCTCTCTCTCTCTCTCTCTCTCTCTCTCTCTCTCTCTCTCTCTCTCTCTCTCTCTCTCTCTCTCTCTCTCTCTCTCTCTCTCTCTCTCTCTCTCTCTCTCTCTCTCTCACACACATACTTTGTCTTGATGCCCGCCAGAATGTCCCCTTTGACAGGGGCAGCGGGGGGGTTTGACAGGGAGCAATGAAAGGGAATTTTCAGGAGAAATCACCAAGCCATTACGACTATATAGCATTTGGATGGGGCCAGGTTAAGGATTTTGGATAGGACGGGGAAGGAAGGAATGGTGCCCAACCACTCGGACGATCGAGGATTGAAGAGGGTATGAAGCGAGACCGTCGTTCTACCGTCCAGCCCAAGTGGTTGGGCATGGTTCATCAGAGGCAGAGGTGGTTTAACAGGTTGCAGGAGAGGTTGTTCCAATTACTAGTCTTCAGTCGACCAGTGTACGGGTTCTAGAGGTAAGAACCTCTAGAGGCTAGAACCTCTAGAGGCTAGAACTTGATGTTGATTCTGTCAAAATCACCATCTTAAGCTAGTGAAGGAGGTTCGTCTCCAGCACGTCACAGTTGACTCCACCTGTCCACAGTTGTCTTACAGAGTTAAAGGCTCTGTCAGACGAGTCCGGCAAGTTTTGGAGAGAAGCTGCTGGACTTACTATTCTAAGGAAAACCTTCTGAGAAAGAAAATGATGTGTAAAGGGAGATGAAGTGACAGGTGTGTGGTGGCGTGACTGTGGAGGGTATAGTGACAGGTGTGTGTGAGGGCGTAACTGTGGCGGGTATAGTGACAGATGTGTGTTGACGTGTTGAGAAAGCCACGGAAGGAGAGCAGCTATATCTTTACTATTTGTTTCTTTACTGATGTTTAATTTGATATTTTTTATTAAACAAGATCAATTATAATTATAAAATTCTTTACGAATCAAATAAATTTATTTTGAATAGATAGTGAAACATGGGTGAGGACGACCCTGACAGGGAATATGGTAATCTGACAAAGCAGAAGATACTCTGACAGCGACGTATTTTTGCCAAGTAGGCTGAGGTAGGCTGAGGTAGGCTGAGGTAGACTGAGATAGACTGAGGTAGGCTGAGGTAGACTGAGGTAGACTGAGTTAGGCTGAGGTAAACTGAGGTAGGCTGAGGTAGGCTGAGGTAGACTGAGATAGACTGAGGTAGACTGAGTTAGGCTGAGGTAAACTAAGGTAGGCTGAGGTAGGCTGAGATAGACTGATATAGACTGAGGTAGGCTGAGGTAGGCTGAGGTAGACTGAGGTAGACTGAGTTAGGCTGAGGTAAACTGATGTAGGCTGAGGTAGGCTGAGGTAGACTGAGGTAGGCTGACGGTCATACACTTCCTATAACATGCTTAACTGAATTTTATATAAACCAATCTAAAAGTCCTTCCTTAGTACCCGGATTTTAAGAATTAGTTTTATTCAGAACTCACTTATCGTATGTTATATTCACTCCAAAGGAATTTGCGTTCGCTTAATAAAGTTCAATTACATTAATGTCAAGAATTATAAGGCGAGATAAATGATATTAGGGCCTGACAGCTGAGTGGACAGCGTTCGGGATTCGTAATCCTGAGGTTCCAGGTTCCGGGCCGCGGGGACGCTAAGCCCCGAAATCATCTCAAGATAACCTCAAGATATTAGAACCAGATATTGGGAAATATTAAGACGTATCCTACTAATATTTATTTCAATAAATATGGCAAGGAAAAAGAGTGAGATCAGTTTTAATCAATAAATTTGTTATAATTTTATTTTAGAGTGACTGAGAAACAGAACAACAAGTAAATATAAATTGGCATCCAAATTTCCGTGAAAATAAACATTCTATTCACCTTGGCTGTAGGGAGACTCGAACCCTGGGGAGCCCAGGTAAATGAAATGTTTATTTACACGGAAGTGTGGATGACAATTTATATGCTGCGGGAGTGGGTCAGTAATTCCTGTGAGCTTCAGCAGTAGTAGTCAGGGCAAAGTCGAAAATACCAGTTTAGCAGCAGGATGCTACTTCTTGAAACGTTTCTTATCAAGACTACTCATAGCCCAGTCAATAGAGCTTCGGCCTTACACACGAGGGAACTACGGTTCGAGTCTCCCAGAGCCAAGGTGAATAGAACAGAAAGTCTTCATGAAGTAAGGAAAGTCTGACTCCTTTCCATAACTCCCATTTAAGCCTTAACCTACTAGCTTTACACAGGTGAGTGCACAGACGCCATTCATTATTAGCCTTACCCTTCTAGTTTCCCACCGAACCCAATCTGCCAATCGGTTTACAACCAGGTTTCTATTTACTGCTGGGTGAACAAGGGTGAATAGCTGGTGGGAGTGGTGCCCAGTCAATCGTCTCCTGGCAGGTCACGAACCCACACGAAATCACACACACACGAAGTGCGTGTTGAGCACTGGCACCAATAGTCAAACTGAACTGATTTGTGAAAGGAAAAACGATAAAACGATATTTTTAGCGAGCATTGAACTCTTGGAAGACATTAGTCGAGTTCTTCTGAGTAGAAAACATATTGGTTAAATGAACATAACCACAAGGGCCGTGACGAGGACTCGAACCTGCGTTCGGGAGCATCCCAGACACTGCCTTAATCTGCCTCGTAGGTTCGAATCCTCGTTACGGCCC